TCTTTAGGACTGGCCGGACTACCGCCTCCTTTAAAGGGGCAGGTACCCGGCCGTCTCTTAAAGAGGCGTTGACCACCTCCAGGATCCAGGTCCTGATCCCGTCCTTGGTTTTCTTAAGTAGCCAAGATGGGCATGGGTCTAGTAAGCAAGTGGTAAGGCGTACTTGTCCAAGCACCTTGTCCACATCATCAGGCCGCAACAAGTGAAATTCAACCATTAATTGTGGACTCGACGGCGTCGATGGCGTCTCCCCAGTAGAATCTGATTCAATAGCAGAGTCAAGCTCGTGGCGAATCTGAGCGATTTTTTCCCTGAAATGCTTGGCAAAGTCATCACAGTGGGCCTTCAAGGGTGGCACAAGATCTTTCTTCGGGTCTGGATATATCAGCCCCTGCACCCTCCAGCATTTCCTTGGCGCAAACGGCAGGTGCTAGTGAGTGAAAGTGAAGGCAGGTGAAAGTGAAAGTCAGAACATACGACTGGAATAAAAGAGGAAGGGGAGTCCTGCTGGACCAGACCAAGGTCTAAGAGGGAGAAGCAATCCAGTACATGCATGGTCAACAGTATTAAGAGTCAAGGATGGGAGAGGGGTAGAGATATTTGCAGTTTTTCCACTTCCACAGGGGTCCTGTGGCCCTAAGCCCTGCAAATGTGGAATGCCAACTGTATTATCAGTTGAATTTCATGGTCACTCTTCTGTATACTTCACTTACTGAATCATGACCAGCTCTCGTCTCTCCGTGTTCTCATTTGGTCTTGGCCTGATTTTTAGATCTGATGCACAAATAGCTTTGACACTATACTACATTTTGGGAAATTTTAATCACATGTGGAAAATGGAAACAGTGAACTTGATTCTTCCTTCTCCCCTACGTTCCACGGGATATGGATTGCATTCAAAGATAAGTATGTGGGTTCTCATTGTCTCAGAGCTGGCCCAACCCTTTGGAAATGTGAGGTGGCTACCTCAGTTGGCAGATAAGGATGTAGTGGTACAGCCTTTCCACCATTCTCATGCTCCCAAGCACCACCCTTCCCCAACTATGCTCATCTTCCTGATCCACTGGCAGCAGTCTTTGCTTGTTTCTGACCTGGGAAAGCTGGTTTCTTTGTCCAGTTGCTTTCTCTCAGAGTATTATAGACAATGCTGCTTTTCATCTGAAATAACACTTCATTACTTAAATAGCCAGTTAGCCCAGATGACAGGATTTTAACTTAGCATTTTCTCTTTGGATCTCATCCAGATCATCTTGAAAACTGTTTTTTCAATGCCAGTTCCTGTAATTCAATGTTTACCTGCATGATTCTTTGCATGATTTATATTTAATTTATTTGTATGATTTCTCACTACATTCGACTT